GGGAACACTGTCAAAATGGTAGGATATTTCAGTCTATCAGTTTGTAGATGTATTTCCAAAGCACAGAGATATCTTTGGGTTAAAAAATGTAACACCTGCATGAGCATAAGCTTATACAGTTAAGGGCTGAAAGGAACCTTGAGCATCATCTGGTTCAACCATTCCCATACTTTCAGCTAAAAAGTAAGTTGAGAGGTTAAGGGCTTTCTAATGTCACTTTGCTACTTAGGGCAGAATTACAACTGGAAATAAAACCCAGGGTTCTTCCAGTACAGCCATGCCTCCTGGAGCACAATCTCTTCTCACATAATCTCTTTTCTCTTGCTTCCCATTGCTTCAACCCTCCTTATGAAAGTTTATCCTCTTACATGCAAACTGATAAGGACAAATCCTTAAAAAGAGATGCTGGCAGAAGGAGAACTCGATTATAAATAGGGAGATGATGCAACCACAAGGGCTGAATCCAGAAATAAATCATATCTTCACATAGTGTTTACTGAAATTGTCTTTTGAAAAATTTCCATAGAAATTATTTTACCCACCACAGGAATGTCACTCCCTCCCACAGGGATCTGACTAAACAGAAAGAGAAGCAGAATGGAGAAAAAGCAGTAATTTAGATTTATATATAAAACATTAGTTGGAACCTAAATAATAAGCTTCAACTAATCAGAATATTTTATGCATTCTGCTTTTTAATGGAAAAGGCAAACCACAAGAAAGCAACCATGTATCAGAGATTTAAAAATGCTTCCAGGGCTTATTTTAGGCTTTACATTCCCCCGCCCCCAATTCCCTGCAACGTCTGTCTTTAAAATATCTCACTGCATACCTCCCTCCTTCTCTTCATATGTGTTCATTTGTTCACTTAACCAATCTTCCAATATCTATTGAGCCCTCCTCTGATGTCTCACGAACTCTGCTAAGATGAAAACATGGTTTTGCCTTAGTTTAATGTCTGGTTAAAAAGTTATCCTAAGAAGATTTGGATTGTTTTCACTTTTTTTTAAAGTTATATTTCCAGTTCTATAAATGGATAATTCTGTACTGAATATTCCCATTTGGACTTCCAGATCCACTGTGTACCATTTTGCAACCTGTTCCATGCTTCTAGTGGGGAGTGAGTGGGGAAAGGGCTGACCTTAATGGACCAGATAAATCATGTTCCTTTGCTCTGGTCTTCAGCAGATGAGAGGAATCCAAAGATCAGAAGATTAGAGGGTGGGAGGGGAGACAGGCAGGGTGACTCCCACCCACATCCCACCCCTCATTTCCCACACCTGCCAAGCTGCGGGTGAACAGTGGCTACATTCCTCTCCTAAAGACCCCAGCACTTGTTAGGTAACCCCCTCCTAGAACTCTCTCTTGTTTTAGCAGCTGTCACATACATCACTGTGACTATCAATTACAAAATGATGAGTGTGTTTCCGAGAAACAACAGAAAGCAATGTAGTTTGGAGCTAAGAGAGCTGCTACTTACGTAGCTACAGAGAAAGAAAACAGGTCAAATATTCGTCCTGCCTGCCCTTTGAAAACAGATCTGTGCAAAGCCCTTCATGTTCATAGCTAGGTGAGGAAGGTTTCATAGTCGCTGTTCTTCATAAACCCAACCCTCATGCCAGGATGACAAGCAGGCCCAGTTTTACTTGGTTGAGAGCAGATGCCTGGGGTACAGTCTTGAAAAAGTTGTGAGGCCTGTTTTCAGTATCTGCCCTGGACATGGGTCAGGGCCCACACTCTGAAATGTAGATCCAGACTGGAACACGGACCTCTATCTCTAAAGGAATCTGATTTAGGACAATTAGAATCTGGGACAGAAACCAGTTCCTAGAATCACAAGAGTTACAATGTATGTTGTCTAGCCCTATTTTTCACTCATTTTACAGACAAGGAAACAGAGGTACATGATGGTTAAACCAATTGACAGATCAGTAATGGAACTAGCATGCAAATTTCCTCTGAATTCACACTTAGTTCTACTTATTAAGGACAAAAAGTAAAGAAAAACATGGCTGATTGCAACTGTCAGTTGGTTTTGGAAAGTTCAATAGAGTCTAACTGGTCAAGATGGGATTTAACTGAGATAGTGAGGGAAACATCTTCCCTGTTTTTGGAGAGATTGACATCTTTTGATGTTGTTTTTGGAAAGACTTTGATCTAAGCGTTATATCTGACTAGGATCCTAGCATCACACCAGATACATACATGTGGGAAGGAAACTGATGTAGCTTGATTACATAGACAAAACAGAAAAGAGCCTATCTAAAGACATTCCAGGGAGCTTTTCAGAGACATTGCTCTAGTTCTCTTTGTAAAACATAAATCCAGAAGGGGGAAGCCTATTCACTCTAGCTACGAAGTAACTAGGAGCAAAGGGTGGTGATTTAAACATAGAATGAGTGTGCAGATAACATATAGATTTTGTCTCAAGGGCTCTTCCATCTGGAAAAGATACGACATGCAAGAAGAGACAACAAAGTAAAATGTTCCTCCAAAACTTCAATTTGCTCATGTCTAAGCTCCATTTCCTCCATGAAACAATTTGTCCTAAGGCTGCAGGTCAACAGTGGGGACGGGGAACATTGAAAATAATCTCCTACGTGTCCTCAAAATCATTCTCTCCATTCTAGCTCCATGCTTAATTAAGGAAGCAATTCTCTGTCTCCTTTGAAGACTTGTATCCTAGTGTTGAAAAGTAGTTTGAAAAAAAGTATGGAGAGAAATTATGAAAAAAGAATAGGAATCCCAGGGCCTGCAACACCCTCCATATAATTAGTCTTCCTCTTGGTACTGACACTAAGAATTCTACAAGTAATGGAGTCAGTTCTAAAAGTAATGGAGTCAGACAAGTAACTGTAAATCATTCCCTTATGTCCACTCTGACTCTTCCTATCTATTCTCACCAACTTCTCCCAACCCCTAACAAAATGGCTTCATTGTTGTGGAGTAGGAAACGGTCCTTAATGCAGTAAGTTGAATCTGGAAAAAAGAGTACAGCCTTGGCCTTTAATTCTGAGAAGAAGGTACTTCGAGGAAAATTCTATTTTGCTATCCACGTCACCCAGGCTCTCCCTTGATTTTGCTAGATGGCATCTTCCAGGAAAAAAGTGATAGTAATGTCACCCACACAGCCCCTAAGTAGCTTTCCCAAAGACCAGTTGAAGCCTCCTGATTATTACACAAAGAAGACGCTCTCATTTGCACTTCCCCAAACACAACTAGGGAAAAAAAGCATCTTTTAATGTTAGGGGTGGAGAGAGGAAAACATCAACTCTTTAAAATTCAGCCATTGAGTTGCTCTGACTTTGCAGCCTGGCAAGGAAGTGCCCTGAGGTGAAACTAGTCCTGCTTGGACCAGTCCCATACTTCGCAATTTCAGCCTTACAATGGTATCACTTAGAGTAGAGCACTCATCTGGAGATTAAAGTTCTTTCTATTCCTATTCTTATTTGTTGTGTGAGTTTCACCAAGGTACTTAGTATCTTTGAACCAACTACAGTTTATAGTTTCATCGGCTATAAAATGAGGAGTTGAACTAGAATTAAGCCAATGGTGAAAAAGAACAATCTCCAAATCATCATTATGGTTTCCTAAGTACTCTAGTGATCCTGGGAAGTTATGTCATTCAAACATTGACTCTGCCTCACTTTGATTTAGGGCCTTTATTTAAGTCATAAAATGAGTCCAGGAAAAGACAGTATGGCCAGAGAACTGTGGCTGTGCCCCAGATTATGAAGACAAAGGTTCACCTTCATTGTGCAATCTCTTCCTCTGTATTTGAAAAACATACTCAATATAAATGAAAGGTCAGAGGTGAATGGATCATACTTCAAGTAAGTTTTGAACATAGATGCCATCTAGTCTTTGCATTCTGCAAAATTCTTCTTTAAGTGAATAAATGTGTAGGGTAACTCTCCATTACCTTGATCAGCATCTAATACCAACCTGACACTTAGAATTAAATTAGAGAAACAAAATTGGATACTCTGAGACTTGAGGGCTGATTATACTACCAGAGCTAGGAGTGGACTTAAACTCTTTCCTTATCCCATTTAAATCTAACTAGATATAAACTCTCCATTACTGAGGAACAGAGGTGTGTCTGCAGAGGTGGAGGCTCCCCTTGATGTTCTTGGACAAGGAAACCTAATCCTTTCTTCTGACACACATGGTTGCAATAGAAAGCCTTCCCCAACTGCCAGTCTGGTTTTAATCTATTGTTTCAAGCAAGATGGGATTTGCAGGGAATGTTAAGGAAAGAGCAAAATGACCAGAATGTACTATAAAATAAAAGTGTTGATGAGAAATCAAATTTTAAACAAGTGTTCAAAATTATAAGCACGAACATATGTAGACATACAGTGCATGCTACAAGCACATGACAATAAAAGTTTTTAATTGTAAGTATATCTAAAGTCTGCTTTCAATACAACATTTATATCTCATTTTACTAAAGTTTTTTGGCTTACCAAACGATAGCCATGGTAAAACACTGCCAATGAATACGGTGGTGCTTCATTTAAACATTGCTGGACAACGAAACATTACTTAAGCAGACTTCCCATGTAACCAAACTAATCTTGCATTGTACAAACCTTCACAATGTTAACCACTTTATATGGAAACTTTTCAAAAGTTACATTTTTTTTTCTTTAAAAGATACACTGAATAACATCTTTTCCTGAAAATCCATTCATTCATTCAATTAAAATACTTATTAAAGCATGCTGATTATACTGCACTTCTTAGAAGGCCAGAAGATAGTAAGCTTAGATGATGGTGAGTGTTTTGGTGATACTTCCCCCCAAACCAAAAAGTTTTAGAATGCCATTGTAAAAAAGTGCAAAAGCAGACAAAACTAGATTGCTTTTGATAGGTCTAGTGTCTTTTCTGCTGTCAGCTATCCCTTCTGGCTAAAAGCATATCAACCTCTATCAATTAGTTGCTTACTTTGTCAAAATAAAATTTAGATTTAAAAGATGTGCCTAGTAGGGCGTGGGGGGGGTATAGCTCAAAGTGGTAGAGCGCATGCTTATCATCCATGAGGTCCTGGGTTCAATCCCCAGTACCTTCTCTAAAAAAAGTAAATAAACAAATAAACCTAAGTAACTCCCCCCCACAAAAAAAAATTTCTTAAAAAAAAAAAAAAAGATGTGCCTATTCTGTGCAAGGCACTATACTAGATGCTGGGGACATGTAAGAAATACAGAAGTATGCCCATGCTGGCTGAGTGGCATTCAAGAGTCACCAGGTCACCAATGCGGTGGGAAACACAATTTATTCTAAGTTTGAAAATAACTTACTTTAAAAAATACAGATATTGAAGGTACATATATTGAAACACAGATACTGAAAGTAAACATAATGAAAGTTCTGATACATTTTCTTCAGTGGGAGTATGTCTTGGGAATCATCTCCCAGAAAAACACTATCAGCCATGTGAGTCTTCATAGACAAAAAACTAAACTGCTTGAGGAGATAAAGTCAGCAGGCCCTATGACAGCTTTCTGCTGGAACCCAGTCTTACTGCCAGACTTCATCTTACAATCAGGAAGGCTTAAGATGTCACATGTCTAATCTTGGTAATTCCTAGGGTCACTGACTCTAATTAATAATATATCTGTAAAACCTGTATTTTAGCATTTTAATGCTCTGCTGTATATGAGTACAAAACATGTAGGCATTTATAAAACTGCTTGTTTAAAAGGGATACTCTATCGTTTATAAGATCAACCATCACTTCTGTTGGCAAGGTCTCTTTTCAGGGTTTCAGTAACACCATATTTTGGGGGCCTTTTGAATATTTTTTGGCTACTCCTTTTAATTTCCATCATCCAACTACTGTTGTTTCACAACTCTACCTTGTAGTCTCAAAGATTTCCTTGGATTTCCATCTGTTTTGTAGCTCAGACCTCTCTCCTGAGCTCCAGATCTATGTATCTAATTGGTGTCATATTCGGAAGCACTATAAGCTCCTCAGAAACTGAGACAAAACCAAACCGAACAGTTTTGTTGAAGAATGTTGAAGAAATGACTTCCTTAGTTGGTTCCCCCACCCCCATTCCTACAATTCCTTCCCTGATTATTTCTGTATTACAACAATCGTGCTTGAACCACGTACTTTGTACCACTCTTATATGAGATTTTCACTCTATGGTTTTAATTTGTAAGTTTTGTCTTACCTGTTAAGATTTCAGTTCCATTACGAGTATCAGCCTTCTTACTGCATTTATCTCCTAACTCTCCCTAATGGATAAATACAACAAAACACATAAAGGAACTCTGACGAGTCTCTCCCAGTTATATTTTTACTGATCGATTTTGGGGTATATTAATAGGAGCAGTAGCACTGTGCGAACTCTACTCATAATTTAAGCCTAACACAAAACAATTTCTTCTATTAGGTATCATCTTCCCAGGAAGCCTTCCCTGGACCAGGTGGAAGCACCACAGTCCTAGACACTCCACCTCCCCAATCCTGGCATTTGCTTCTGTAACACCTAAAACAGTACATTATTTATATGCTATCCCCTTAGGCCATTCCCTTCACTTCCTTAAGGCAAGGTATGTCTTTCTCTGTACCTTCAGCACCTAGCAGATGAAAGGTTTTAAAAAATGTTTACAGATCGTTTTACAGTGTAATCAATGTATCGAGGCCACATAGGTCTCAAAAGACCACTTACTGCCCTCTAAGAGGATTAGGGAGGCCCCATTCCTAGAGAAACTTCTTAAAAGCTTGCCTCATGATGGCGATGATTCGAAAGGCAACTTCCTTGACTTTCTTCCAGTCTAAAAGCTGCTACTAAAGCCCTCTAAAGAGACGGTCCCTTAAGCAAGCCTGCGTAAAAACTAGGTCTCCAGGGCAAATACTAAAAACAAGCCCCACCCTGTTCCTATCCGCACCTGCTCAGCAGCAGCAAAGCGGCCCGCCCGGAGGGCATAAGCGCGTGCGCAGTAAACAAAAGCGCCGGGAATCTGGGACTTCGTCCCTGAGCTGACGTCACTCAAGACAAGACGGCTCCGCCCTCCTTAAGATGGCGCTGCACTCAATGCGGAAGGCGCGTGGGTGCTGGACCTTCATCCGGGCACTTCACCAAGGACCCGAAGCTGTTCCCGCTCCCCAGGTAACAGAAGCTGGCCCTCTCCCGCCGTTTTCCCATCCCGCTATGTCCTTCTCATCCCCCTTTCCTCTGTTTGCTTCTTCTCTCTTCCCTTTTCCTCTGGAGAGTACAGAGCCCTTTCCTTCCTAAGATCGATTCGCCTACGACTGCCCGCCTACTCGGAGCGTGGCGACGTTGCAAGTATGCGCGGTGACGTAACGCGCTCCTGCTGGGAGGAGCGCGCCGCCGTTTGCCCACTCTGCCTCAGCCTCTCGACCTGAGGGCACCGCACCGGCGCTGTTGCCGGGCAACGCGGGAAGCCGAGCCCTGTGTGAAGTTTTCAGAGACCCGAGGGCCAGTCTCTCCTGGACTGCCCACCTTGTGATCCTGTTGTTGTTTTTAACTCTCCTTTCCCTAACCGCAAGCCAAGGGTCCGGCGGAGAAATTAGGGAAGACGCCTCGTTAGGAATTGGGCCGTTTAAGTAGGTGCACCCTCTTGACGTCCTCTCTCTGGCAATGCGGTACTTGAGCAAGTGTCAGTGCATCTTCCACTCTGATTTCTCCTCATTGCCCCGAAGTAGACCTGTATCGAGGAGGTTTTATGAAGGAATCTCAGCAAGCTGCCAAAGGCGTCTTTTTGTCCTGGCAGCACTGCTGTTAGTGTTTCTCTGTCGGGCTGAGAGCATGGACACGGCTTTTAACCTGTCCTGTCAGTATTTAGAATTTTACCCTCATAACAAAAAGAAAAAAAATGTATATTATTATAGATACATATAATTTCTTACCTTAATTCAGATATTTATTTCAGCCAGATATTTACTAAACGTTTTCCAAGTGCAGTCTCAGTGGTAGGCACTTTGCCAGATATTTCTACATTTCTTTGGAGATAACTCCTGGGGACCAAGGAGATACTTGAGATTCTGTGATTATTAGGTGATTTCCTGTCATCTTTGCATATTCATAGTCTTAATGTGTGTGAGGATTTTGTATGGTAACTGGTGTATTGGAGAGAGTACTAGACTGAAAGTTAGGAAACTACAAGTCAAGGGATTTGTCTGCCATTTGCTAGCAGTGTGACATGACAAGTCACCTAATCTTGGTGGGTTTATTTTCTTTAGCAAAATGGGTGGAGGAAGGGTTGAACTGATTGACAACGTTCCTTCAAGCTTTGGAAAATCTATTGCTCCATGATTATGAAGTCAAAAAGTAAAGCAGTAAGGTTAATTATGAAAACCAAGATTTAAGTTCAACTTGGTTTTCTAATCATCACATAAATTACTTAACTTTCTGTGCTATGTGTTCTTCATGGATGTGGGCCTCAAGATTCTTGGAAGGATAAAGCATATTAAACTAGAAAGCTATTTGTTAACAAAACAGCTATTTAAATGTTATTTTAAATTTCAGGCAGCAATGTTAGGTAAGAATTCATTCAAAATTAGATAATACATCTAATACTCCACTGTTTGAAGTTTGAGGGTTTGATTCTGCAGAACCAGAATTGGTTGATTACTATATTTATAGCTAATAGTAGCATATTAAAACCTGTGGATCCAAAGTAAGTCTTAGACCCAAACCTCCTCTCATTCGAAACTCAAGAGTTGAGAATGTCATGAGAAATAAAAAATCAAGGAGAAAAGAAAAACAAATTACAGCCCACAAATACTTGCCCAAGAAAGTTTACGGCATTCAATCATTATAAATGCTAAAGAAAAAATTTCTTAAATCTCTACTATTGTTTCAGTGGCATTTATGAATACGATTATCTTAAAGTATTAATCTAGATTGTTTCAGGGTGTAGAATTTCCAGAACAGGTTACTGTTTCCAAACCTTTACTTTAGGTCTCAGTAGAATATGAATTAAATTTAAGCAAGAGCATTTTTTTGAAGTATGATCTACATATAATTTTCAGTCATTAAAAATGGTTTGAAAGACTAATGCAGTCTTTGGAAAGACCAATTGGGAAAATATATAAAATTACATTTTAAGTGTAATTATAATACAATTTGTAAATAAATATTTATGTAAATATATGCACAAGAAAAAAGACTGGAAGGAAACAACTATTCTTAAATTTTTTTCCTAAATAGTGGATTAAAAGTGATTTAAGTTTTCTTCTTTAAGCTTTCTGTGTTTTTCACATGTCCTAAATTGAAGATATATCATTTTCAGACCCAGAATAAAGTTTTAAAACATAAATCTCCAAATAAATGCATAGGCATTAATATCATCTGTGATATTTTAGATATCTGAAAGGAATAACTTGTCCCACAGTGCTGTTATTAAAATGGGCTTAGAAAAGTTATTAAAATGGCTTTAGAAAACTTAAGATTTATGGACACTTCTCCTGTATGTATCTTCTTTTCCTCTTGAAAAGTTTCCTTTGAAGTCAAAGATTTTGTGAACAGATGCAGAAATATGTGAAGGAAGAATTGGATTCTTAAACCAGATGCATTAGACACTTTTATGATATCTCATACTCTTTGCGGAAAATAAAATTATTTTGCAAGGGTGTAGTATATTGGAAAAAAACGTATATTTATCATGTGGATGATCCTATCAAAATCTAAGAAATAGAAATTTGCTTGTGATTGGTTTTGGCTGCGCGGTTACTTCCTGAGGTGAGAAGCGAAAGTGGGTGAGACACCGCAGTGCTTTGCTAGTGTCCTGTGATTCCTTGATTGTGTTAGTGTTTTCTTAAACAGGCAAAATCTTGGGTAATAAGCTTGGCATTGGAGACTTTTAGTTATCTCAGGCTTTTGCCCCCCAAGGCTTGATGTAGAACTCAAGTTTAAAATAAAAACTTGGGAGAAAACAGAAATAACAGTGTATCAAGCCCTGCTCATTATGAAATGTCCACAGTTTATATGCAAGTGGTTTATTTTGCCAGGTGTTGCCTGACAGAAAAATGTTGAAGTCTGCCGAGATGAGAGTAGTCACAGACTCAGAGGAATGAAGATCTGACACGTTATGTTTAAACGCTGATGGCATTAGGTAAATTTAGGCCTGTCATCATTGGCCAAACACAGAATCCATACTTCTTTAAGTACTAACTTATGATTGCATTGTGCAAAGAGTGAAATATTGATGACTAGTAGACTTTTGCAATAATATATATAATCATTCAGGTGAAGTGTAAAATATCCACATTTGATCACAGTTAAACAACACACCTCATTCATTATTAGCTGTCCCAGTCTGGGTTTGGCCAGTATTAACATATTGTTCCTACTGTTAATGGCCACTAAATGTAGCCATTAGATGAAGGAATCATGCCTCCAAAAAAAATAGGCATTATATTAAATTTTAATCTTGTATTTAGTTCTCACAACAAGGCCTTTTAAAAAATCAGACCCTCTTTTTTTTGGTGTATATATTTTTTTATTTATAGTCAGTTTACAATGTTGTGTCCATTTCTGGTGTACAGCATAATGCTTCAGTCGTATGTGAACATACATATATTTGTTTTCATATTCTTTTTCACCATAAGTTACTACAAGATATTAAATATAGTTCCCTGTGCTATACAGAAGAAACTTGTTGTTTATCTATTTTATAGATCCCTCTTTTTTTAAACCTTTTTTATTTTAAAGTAATTTGAGATATGCAAAATTGTGAAATTAGTACAGAATATTCCTGTCTACCCTGCACCAAGCAGCTTCTTCCTGCATAATCATGGTATAATTATGAAAGTCAAGAAGTGAACTTGGGACAATTTCAAATTTCACATTTTCCCGCTAGTTTCTTCCTCGTCCAGGACCAAATCCAGGATCCCACATTGCATTTAGCTGTCATGTCTTTTCCAATCATTGTCATGTCCTCAGTCTTTAATGACCTTGGCCTTTTTGAAGAGACTTGCTTAATTATTTTGTAGAATGTCTCTTAATATGGATGTGTCTGATGTTTTATCACAATTAGACTGAGGTGATGGATTTTGGCAAGAATACTTCAGAAGAGATAGTGTTCATAACAAGGCTTTAAGGTAGGTGTTAACACCTTATTATGAGCAGACGAAAATAGACTTTAGTTAAGTTACTTGCCTGATGTCTCAAAGCTAATTAATTGTGAAATTAGGGTGTTAAAATTTACTGTTGGCATTTCATTCCAGATTTTGTAGTTAGTATTTGTTTTTATAGGTTTCTCTGATCATTAAATTGGGGTAGTGTTCCCAGTGACTTTTCCCTTAGCTTTTCTCTGCTGAGTTCATCTATCCAACATGCGACGTGAGCTATAATCAGCCTGGAAAGCCATCAGGAGCCGCTGTGGCCATCTGGGAATTTTACTTGATGCTAACTGCCAGTTTGATCAGGCTGCCTTATGTCCAAGTGCTTTTCTTAAATAGTACATGAAAGTGTTTCGTGGACCCACTCTAACGCCCCTTTTAAGCTCAGTCTATGAGTCCGTTTGTTTAAAATACTCTTTGAGTTGATTTTCCTTGTGAATTGACTTAGCTTATTAGAACCAATAATATTTCAATTCTTGGAAAATATCTTTGAGTGGCTAATGAAAACTACTGATGGTAACTGCTGAAAATATAGAGGAGGAACAGTAGGTAGACGCTGAGCATTTATCCTGGCAACTGTTATAGCAGCCACAGCCGGGAAATGCCGAACAGCGTGAGGCTGCTGACCCCAGATCCTTTCGCAGTGTATCTGTTGCATGGCTGTAGGTTACAGAGGACTGTGTGCAGAGGACCCCTTTTTATATTCTTTTTCATCATAGGCCATTCCAAGGTGTTGTATATACTTCCCTGTGCTACACAGTAGGACCTTGTTTATCTAGTTTATATTTAGTTGTTAGTATCTGCAAACCCTGAACTCCCCGGTTTGGATTTCTTAAGATGAAGTTTGAAAAATACTTCAGCTTCCTTAAATATCCAGGTGAACTTGTTAGCTTAGGACCACATGCAATGGATGGATTATTTTTAAGGAGCTGCTCTGTAAATGAGTTATTTGGGAGTTCTTATTCTAATGTGTATGTTTTTAATCAATAAAATGCAATATTTGTTCTATTTATCTTAAGTTGT